ACGCGCCACGTTAGCTTTTATTTGTTTGTGCGTGACAGCCGTGTAATTTTGTAGGATTATACATATCTTTGTATTAACGTTAATTGATAATCACTATATATCGGCTTGGCGCTTAATGCAATTTACATAATAAACGTCAACGTCTAACAATCCAGTCGGACGAGCGGCGCGCGAAAAGCAAACGGGGGGAGAAAGAAGACGGTCGACGGTTGAAAAATTTCGCGTAGAGATATATTCCTCGAAACCGCCGAGCGCGCCTGCGGGTTATACACCGCGGATTATATCTCGTGCTTCTCGTCGGCGTTAATAGGCCACCGGTAACTTATACACTTTAGCGCGAGCTGTATATGGGAGCAAACCGAAAGGAGAGAGAAAGAGAGATAGATAGAGAGAGAGAGAGAGAGAGAGAGAGAGTGAATGGGAGAAAATGCCGTGGTTATAAACGTAGAAACGCCCCGTAGGGAGATCTGTCAAATAAATAAAGCACGAAAAAGCGCGGCACGCGTGTGTTTGTGCGCGGCGGTGTATATGACGTCACATCCTCGAAAACACTATTATTATACCTCAACCACCTCCGCCGGCGCATTAACATAGATTACGCCGCCGCGGCCCTCGAGCGATGTTCGGTCCTCGACCATTAGACGATCGCCATTGTGGTTACCGCGACGACGGCGGCGGCGGCGGCGGCGGCGGCAAGCGAACTTGTGAGACGGGATTATATTTGCGCGAGCGCGTCCCATTGACGGAAAACACGGTGATCAGCGACGTGTGAAGCCGTCGCGCGCGAACATTATAATTTCCTGCCACAACGGCGTGAAAAACCACTGGTTCTCTTCGCGGAACACCTCGGGAGATAGACGACTTTCCGTCCGCGTGGGAGTACAACGTCCGTGAATTTTCACGCGAGCGAATTACGCTAAAAAAAATTAAAAAAAAAAAAAAAAAAAATGTACGTTTGTAACGTCGTGACGTTTATTGTGAGCGATTATTAATTGTGAAAATATTTTCGTACGCCGCACACAAACACGGTTTACCGGGTATATCGCTGATAACATCGCGGCCAACGCGATCGAGTGATTCGAAGGAAAAGACGGTGATCGATCGACTCAACTGGCCGGCTTGTCGTGCGTTATTTGTAAAACGGCAGAAAAGCCAAGTCGTTGTAAGAAAACGATTTGATTGAGCTCGGGCGAGCTCGTATCGTGACGTTATCTCGAAAACGTTTGGTTTAATTGAAAAGGACGACGTTGCGCGCGTAGGAGTTTATTAAGTCGCGCATTGCGCAAAAAGAAAACAGGAAACGGACTATTAATTAAACGCGTGTGTAAAATGACGACTAGAGATATGCGCACGCGCGTTTTTTTTTCTTTCTGCCATTTTTTTTTCTCGCATTTGCACGCAGCAGCAATTTTTTTCCCCCGCGCAAAACGCGACTTATTTATTAAACGCGTTAAGTATGATGTTTAACGATCGGAATCGTGAAACTCGGTCGGGATTTGGAAGCTGTCGAAAGCGAGATCTGCTATTCCCGGCTTCGCTTTTAAGCTACTTATTCCACGGGTTTAAACTCTCTCTCGTTCGCGGTTGCTCACCCGACGGCGAAATTCGAGAGACAGGTTCTCAATTTAAGATGGATCAATCCGCGTGGCTTGACGGATAATCTTCTCTCTCTCTTGGAAGAAACTTGAATTAAAGGGACGAAAACCAGTATCGCCGACGTAAGACGTAACTTGTTCGTTCTGTATGCCGAGGAGATTAAATGGATATACGAACCGAAAGATTTAAAATGAATGTACGAACCTCAATTATTTCTTCACACCTCGCTGATTCATAATTCAGATTTGCTCAAGGGAAAAAAAAAACGGAATTAATCATTCTATGTATATATTAATATTTTTACAAGTTGCAGTACTCCTTCGCTATAACGTAATGTGTGCGTAGGTATGTTAAAACAAAAAACAAAATGACATTGTTTTTTTATTATTAGCACGTAGTTTTTTTTCAGGTCAATGTGAGACAACGTGCTTGACGCACGCGTGCAAATATATATATTCTTAAACAAATATATTTCTAAGTATATAAACAACATATATAAAAAACACATTTGCTTGATGCACGTGCAGATATGTTTTTTAATCAGCAAATCAATACATCTCGGAAATTCGAATTGATTTCAATTCGAATTATTAAATTCGTCTCGAGATTAATTGACGCTTAATTTAAGATGATGCTTGATTTGCATCTCATACATAAATTATCCACTTTGCTACCTGTGAGATAAAAAAAAAAAAAATAAAAAATTTATTGGCCAAAGAGAAGTTTTTATTCGACTTGAAAAAAAATACATGCGAATTTTTAAAACTGTTTAAAACTCGTTCGAACTAAATATAAAAGGGGATTCGAGAATTCGCGCGAGAAACTTGTTCTTTCTTTACTTCCTTCTTTGAGGCCATGGGCGAGCGGAAAGACGGCGCGGGTCCTGCTGTTCCTTTTCTTTCCTCTCTCCGTTCCTACGGCTACGGTCAACGGAAAGAGAATGATGGAACGTGAGGGACTCTCTTTTTTCGCCGAGCTGCGTTTCTGATCGCGAACTAGACAAAAGAGAGTAAGGAAGGAACCTCTCTGGAGATCTTTTTTTCTCACTCTCCTCACTCGATCGCCGAGAACGAAAGAATTTCTGCGCGGAACAATTTCTTTGTGTTACGCGGATATTATATCGATTATTTATTGCTTCGATGGAAAGCGAACGCAAAAAACCTAGATTGTTTTCGAGCTAAAATAATCGCGGCAATTAACAAACAATGTCATAAAATAATAAATCTAATAGAAATTATTATATTATGAAATCAAGCTCTCCGCGTCGCGCGCGCGAGCAACAATGCGAATAAATTGCGCAAATCTGAGATCCTTCGAAGGTCTCCTTTCCCACTAACTGCGTCATCGAATCTATCAGCGAAGGTATAAAAGAAACTCGAATTTTCGAGTGTCGTTGTAAAAACATCTTTTTTAGCGAAATAAACAGTCAACTTTTTCCTCGATGACGAATTGACTGACTTTTTTAACAATTTGTGTGCAAAAGTAATTTTGACGAGAAAAAACGGGGAGAAAAAAAAACATTGACGTTGATTTGACGAACGGAAAGAAATCTCGATTGGAGAACAAAATTCGACGGGAAAACGGTGCGGCAACACGCGCGCTTCGTGACGGGGCGAGAGAACGAAAACTAAACGGCTTTTGCAAGAAATGGCGCGGAGAGGGTTGTCTTTATTTTCCCTCGAGATATCCAAGGTCTTTTCGCGCGCATATTTCGCACCGATTAATTTTGTCACTGATTTTTATTTGTTGCGAAAGAACAAGGTGGCGCGCGCGCGCGCATATAGTTGATGGTTATTGGCTCGCGATACTCCACGTGCGCTGATGCGCGCGCGCGCGCGCGTAATTCGCGCGCTCGCGAATATCGCGAAATGCGCGCCGTGCACGCGAGACGTGTGTGTGTGTGTGTTGGAGTTTCTCTTCTCTCGCGTCGTAATAATAAATTCTACGTAGCAACGTGACTTATCCGCGCAGCTCGCGGCTAAGTGCGCGCAATAATTGTTAATTGTCGACGTTGATACACGTGCCAGATAGCGCACCGTTCCTCTTGCGCTATATATATACCCTTGTTCCAATTTGTTTGTCTTTTTTTTTGTTCGCGGCTTGTTGCTGCCGTATCTGCGATAATTCGCGAACGAGGAAAAACAATTGATAGAAAAATGCTGATAATTCATAGACGTTTGTTAATATATGACGTCATTAGTTCTTTACAATTGTAAGCAATCTGCGCTGTTATAGGAAAGAATTTGTTAATCGAAACTTTGTTCGGTCATTAAATTGATGTTTTTCTAATCGCGCTCGACCGATGAAATTTAATTATTTCCGGTTGCAATTAAAACAACAAATTACTTTTGTAAATTTCCATGTTCGACGAATATGCGTCTTTTTTATCGAAAAACAGAGAGAGAAAGAGAGAGAATGAGAGAGAAAAATATAAGTTCGCATAACTCTTGTAAAAAAAAGTCTGTAATTATTACTCTTGTTTCGGTCGCCAAGTCGTAAATACGCGTGCTAACGAACCACTGAATCTCTACATTCGTTTGTGAGGCTGTAACAAGCTCCGAAGCTGACATTTAGCTCATCCCCTCATTTTTTCGTTCTGACCTTTGCCGCGCGTCTTCTCAAACTCTGTTTCTCTCTCTCTCTCTCTCTCTCTCTCTCTCTCTCTCTCTCTCTCTCTCTCTCGTTTCAACATGTTATCACTTCGAATATCTTCGAGACGATCTTGACGAGAAAAATATGCGTAATCGCGCTTTTTTTCTTTCCAATATCCTTTACAATATTGCAAACATTAAGTGACTCATTTCCCTCCTCAGTTAACTAAGTCTTCTTTCGCTCGTTTTATCTTTGCAAACTATTTGTTGTTATTTTTAAAGCAATCGCTGTTATTCAGAGCCAGCGAGATGACACGCGAGCAAATCGATTGTGTTGCAAATCGATTCGTGTTCGCAAAACTGAATGCGAATTAGAAAATTTGTCGTATGTGTATGTTAATGAAAATCGCTAAAAATCCGACTCTTCTCGTCGGTCGTGTTTCGTGTCGGCGGCGGCGGCAGCGTTGCGGTCACATCTGTCGTGGCGGATAGACCAAACCGCAAGACGCATTGTGAGTCAATAATGAGGGAAGAGGATAAATTACCTGCCGCGTCGCGAACCGTCATCAGATGACTGTTACAGACGAACGAGCCGAGGATTCGCAACTACATGTAAAACAACACGCGACACAAATGGGATTTGTGTGACGTAAACCGTGTAACACGCTCCGCTGCATATGATTATTCAAACAACACACGAGAGAGATCGTTTGAATTCACAACAAGGAAAATGACTACGTGGCAGATACTCGCGCGAGCGAGTTAAGTCAAGCAGAAAGGAGGTGAGTTCGAGACACGTGGACGCGTACTTACCCGGCACGAAGCGATGCTGCAGCGGCGGCGGTTGTGAGTGTCAGTTGCTGGCCGGCCGCAGCTGCAACGACGGCAGGCGAGTCGGCCGCGACGAGCTCCGACAGAACCAGGACCGTTGTCGTGGTCGTCGACGGGCTGCAGTTTGGAACTGTTGTGCTGACGGTGTGACGCACCGTGGGTGACAGTTCGTCCTCGTGTTGCAGCTGCAGTTGCGGATAGTGTTGCAGATGGAGACCCGTAGCCGAACCAGCAGCCGAGGCGATGTATCGCGCGGTGACACAGGGCGAGATCAGGCTCGTTGTCCTCGTCACACCGGCTGATGGCGAAGGCGGCGACGTAGGCGTGGGCGGCGGCGGCGGATACTCGAGCACTTGGACCCGATCCGTGTGCTCGTTCTCGTAGATGATCTCCTTGTCGTGCGTGTACATGACCGTCTTTTGTCCGTCATTGTAAATCAAGTCGATGCCGGCCGCCGCGGTCTCGGCGCCTGGTGTTACCCGATCGTCAGGATCGTCCGCTGCGACCGCGGCGCGTTGTTGTACATCGTTCGTATTATTGGACTGAATATGCGACTGCTCTTGTTGATGATGATGAGGATGGTGATGGACATGGTGGCGATGATGGTGATGGTATTTTGGATGGAGGGTGTGTACGGGCGGCGGTTCGTGCAACTCGAGCACGTTGACCGGCTGCATGGTCGTGAGGAGGACTTGCTCGCTGTCATTTTGATTTTGATTGCTCAGAGAAGACGCCGGCGAAACTGGAGCCTCCTGCACCTGTAATAGAGGCGTACAGTAACAGAAATCAATAAGACAGTCGATACATTTGACCAATTAACTTACCGTCTTTTTATCGGTAAACGAAATTTCGAAATCTGAATTTTTATTTTGTCTGTGTTATCACATTTGTTTTTTAACAAACTAATCTGCTTGTGAAATTGTCGAATGGAAAAATAGAAACCAATAGGAGCTAAAATACTGGACGTTCGTGTATACTGATCAGTATACGATTATCATCTCGTTCAGTTCGGGGGTTTTTTTTCGTTATCAAAAGTTTCATTATGACACAATTATTTATTAAAAACCACCAAACATTTCGAATTGCGAGCTGATGTGCAATCCGTCATATAATTTAGTTTGTCACTGGAGAAGGATCCCCCGATACAAGGATCGAAAACATTCGACCGAAGATTCAAACAAACATTTTTATACACGGACAGCCGGCTCGTATCGGTCTCTCTCTTTTTCCATTGTGTTTAAATATTCCCTCTTTATTTTATCATCTTGTTTATCACTTGATATATTTATATAGGATTAGTTCTTTTCTTGTCTTAAACGGATTAAGAAAACGCGATGTATATTTATACACGCGCCGTCGTAAAATCACACGCCGTAACCACGTTAGAGACATACCGATACGCCGAGAAATAACGAAGAGCCTTGATCTTTACAGAGCACAATAGCTATCGCGCGAAGGCGTTTTTCTTTTTTTCTTTTTTTTCCTCTTTCTGAAGCCGCGCGCTTATCGCGTATGCGCACGCACACGCTGAATTAAATCGCCCGCAAACACAATGATAACAAAGTTAATCCAACCGGCGCTAATTTATTAATCGCGGTCTTAACAAGCGCGGCTTTACGACATTGGGATTTACACGGCCGAGCGCGCTCCCGTGGAACACACCTCGAGCGCGTGTTGCAACGCGCGAGCTTGTTGTAACAATTTCGAATGCTAATTAGCATCGCGCGATAGAAAATTTATATTAATATCTTCTCGCGCGATGTGTGCGAAGCGCGCGAGAGACGTTTACGCGTGTGAGAGAGTTTTTCTCCTCGCTCAAACATCTCTCCTCTCGTCATAATTAATCGCCCGTTTCTGTGTGCGAAGCGCGCGAGAGAGCTCGCGCCGAGGAATTCTCCGGACGCAGCGCACGGACTCGAAAGATCAAACGATCGCGAACTGGACTGGACTGAAAGTTTTGCCGTTCGCGATCGCGCAGAGATCGGCCTTCTTCGTCGCGAAATTCAGGAAGAATCCGGCGCCTCCGCGCTTTCATTTCCGAGAAGCCGACGCGATTCATCCTCCACCGCGACACACCGTCATTATCTAATTGCTTCCACGAGTCGCGATTTATATACTGTTCTCCGAAGACAGCGCGTTACGTGATAAGTCGCGTTTTCACCGATGTGTACCTCGCGACAAATGTCGTTTCGCACATGCGTAGGGATGGAGCTTTCTCTCATGCAAATGTCCGTAGGTTCTAAAGAGTGGAAGTAAATATAACACAAAGGTAATAATTAGATAGGATAGGATAGGTTAGATGGGATGGGATAGAGTTTGTGTGAAAAGTTCAGACAATTTGATCACAGAAAAAAAGATTTGCTGAAATAGCAAATTAGTTGCTACATGAGCAAAAAATGGGCTAAAACCTATTGAGATTTTTTATTTTGCTAACAAAACGTTTTAACGATGAAACAAAAATTCAATAGACTCAACAGATAGTTTCGTGCTGACTGTCTAATAGCAAAACTTTTTTTTTCGCGTATGGAGATCACGCGCATACACCAGCGGGGATCTCCAAAGATGAGAAAAATAACTTTTTTCGCGTCTATTGACAAAGTTTCGATCGCTGGTGCACTTTTATTGATTTACGTCAAACGTTTTGATCCTTGTTTGAATTATTTTCAGCGATTGACAATAAAAATTGTTCAGTGATCATCAAGTCAGATCGAAAACTTAAATGCCATTGACGAGTCAATTTCACAACGTACAAAAAACATACTCAATAATCAAAGATGTTCCTCTTCAAATGTTCCTCTACAGACCGTTCTAAGACGTTCTAAGACAAACAGACGTTCTAAGACGTACAGACGTTCTAAGACGTTCCTCTCTACAGATGTTTCTTCTACGGTTAAGTTAGTCAACTCGAAATTACAAAAACAAACTCGTATGCACAATTGATATCTTAAACATGTTCGTTGACGACGATCGTAAACGACCGGCGTGCCCTACCGATGCACCTATCTACTCGGCGACACGTCTATCCGCGAAGTTAATGCGCGAAAACCCCTTCGACCCGCATAAATAACGAAACGGTACAGTAACGACGTCGTTTGGAATTTCTGACCGTGTCGCCGGATTATCGTGCTTTCTAGCCAGTAACGTGAGTTATTTCGCGAAGTTTCTCCCTTTTCTTCGTCTCTTCTCTCTCTCTCTCTCTCTCTCTCTCTTTCTCGCCTTTTCCTAGGAAAACCTCGAAGACCTCGGAGAGCTGCCCGATGCCACACAGTCACTGTATGCGGCATCATTCGTAACGTGACAGCGAGCGACGTGGCAGCCGCTATTAAAGCGCGCGCATATTGCAGCGGTTTGCAGCTGCAACGATGGGTACCGTCAATTAACATAATTAACAATATTATGAATCATCTTCTTAATGTCCGAAGAACTTAGTGCGCTAGAAGATACAGCGTTGAATCACGCGTTAGTCCGAGGCAAACAAAAATCCGCTCTTTTTTTCCGCCTTTTTGTCACCTCTTCTCTCTCTCTTTCTCTCTCTCTCTCTCTCTCTCGCTCGCTCTTTGCAAAATTAAATTCTTTTTCACTGTTTACTTATTTCTCCTAGCGCGAGAAACTTAATCCTCCGAGTGTGTCACCGGTTTTCTTTATATTTCCTCGCGCGCTGACCGTCGTAAATTCAGACGCCGCGTGAATAATCGCGGCTACGATTAAGCACGAGGATTAGCGTGATGAAATACAGTCGGTAAAATCGTTAATGGACGAGCGCGCGAGAAATTCTGAATAGACCACACGTGTTTCCCGATTGCCACAGGCCAAAGTACGTAACATTGTTTATTTTGCGAGATTACGACTTTTCACATTACTCTCGAGCGCCTGACAAACTCGGTGTTTAATAACGTCACAACTTTGTTACTTAGTTTGTTTGTGTGTCATATATAATATTTTAATAATTTTTGCGAAATCTCTAATGAGAACACATGAGAAATGTTTTTGGGTGTTTTATGTGTGCTGTGTGTAATCTCGCACAAATGTGATCTTTGCTTCGGGATTCGAGTCGAAGGCGAATTTGTTCAAGATGACGTTCGGTTTTTCGTTTCGATTTCGATCCACAATGTATGAACTGGACATGCAGGACGTGTAATAAATAATTCTGTTAAGAAGAATCTTTTATTATTTAGCCGCGAATTTACACAACAGAACATTACAACTACAACTAAATAACACGACAACATAAAACATCGACAATATAAAAACATCACGCAATCAAACGCATTGCAATTTTGCGAATTTAAACTTTCTTCATTTTTTTTACAGTTTTTCTGCCGTTGAGAAAATTTCTCTTTCTCTTCGGATTCATTTCTTAAAATCACGATATGCTTCATCGGCAGTGTCAGGGGTCCCAGATACGCCGACCAGAAACATTAATCAACACAACCGCGGTGAGTCGCGTAACCGCGACACGAACCTCCCGCGGTCGTTACACGACGTTAAGTACTCTTCGATGCGAATACTCGGCCATGTATTTCCCTCGAAATCTAATCCTAACGTCAGTCGCTGAAATTTATCGCGCTCGCGCCGACACCGTTGGAACCGGAACCGCACGCACGGAATCCATTAGTTTTTATTGCATTTCTCTCGCACGGAATGCAATAGCGACAAACGGTAAAAATTATCTTTTACGACTCTGTTGTTACTCCGTCGCGGTCTGTCGTCATACTTATCGAATTACAGTTGTTCGCATCGTCACGCAAACTCACTGATCTAATCCGGCTATCTTGTAGAACGTATAAAACATAAATGTATGAAATAATCGGACGGTTCTGTTCGTTGCTAAACGAGTCGTGAAACGTTAAACAAAAACAAATTTATTGATGCTCACCGCAACGTGTGGTTGATAAGGTCTGTCTCGACTTTTCACGTCTACGCGACTGGTTGTACGTTATGTTAAATTGCGAGCTAACGAGCATCATGTTAACTATCTTTATTTCCAGCAGATGTAGAACAACGATAAAATGATGCATTCGAAACATTTATGATGCTACACCGACTACAACCGCTAGCGTGTATACATACAAGGTGTGATCAAAAAGTAAGGTGATTCTTGGAATTTCGCGCGCTCTGTACACTCTAATTTCAAAATTTTTTTGTTGTTGTTGTGTTGGTACACTCGTCACAATCATATGTTCACAGTTTTGACTATATAGCATGTGTTGTTTTTATGTGAGAGGCATAAAGGTCAGACTCGTGTTTGCGTGCTCGGCGATTTTTTGCTGTTGAAAATAATAGAGCAGAGAGTTTGTATTAATTTTTGTGTAAAAAATGGTATTAAGTGTTCAAAAACTCTTGACACGTGTGTCAGCGAAATTCGTTCCAAAACTGCTTAATTTTGATCAGAAGCAGCATCGCATGAACATCGCCCAAGACATGTTGAACGACGTCAATGACCATGACCATGTTCAGCAGACTGAGCAGATCAGTGAGCGCTTAGTGATTCTTCAATATGATTGGTTTCTACATTTAGATCCATTGAAGATCTAAAGGCAAGATTCAATCATATTAAAGAATCACCAAGCGATCACTGATCTGCTCAGTCTTCTGAACGTGGCCCATGTTCAGCAGACTGAGCAGATCAGTGAGCGCTTAGTGATTCTTCAATATGATTGGTTTCTACATTTAGATCCATTGAAGATCTAAAGGCAAGATTCAATCATATTAAAGAATCACCAAGCGATCACTGATCTGCTCAGTCTNCTGAACGTGG